GGCACCAGCTATACACTAGACGTTCTCTAGGCCTTTTAGAAAACATGGAGTTGTTTCTTTGGCCACATACATCTGAATCTACAAGAAACGTGATATTGTAGACTTCAAGGGATGTCTACAAATGTGCCCTTGGCAAAACTGGGTGAGTCTACAATGTTACCTAGCATGCGGTGGGCATTGTTGTAAACAAACAAGGGCAAGATTCTTGCCAAGAGAATTGATGTATGTGTTGAGCATATTAAGCACTCTAACAGCTGATAGTTTCCTGAAACGTGTGAAGGTAAATGATCAGAAAAAGAAGAAAACCAAAGAGAAAGGTACTTGGGTTCAACTGATGGACCAGCCTGCTCCACCCAGAGGAGCTCACTATGTGAGAACCAGAGGAAAGGAGCCTGAGCCGCTGGACCCACTCCCTGTGAATCCACGGCACGATTTTATATACACTGAGGGGCCAGATTATTGTGACCACCCCATCAGTACTTCACTGACACTTCCAAAAATACTGAATATTGAAAACTTCCTACCAAATACTCTCAAGATTTTATTATTATTATTTGCATAACTAATTCACTTCATTGTACTGATGGGGTGGTCATAATAATCTGGCCGGTCATAATAATCTGGCCACTCAGTATGTGTGTGTGTGTGTATATATATATATATATATATACTCTGTACTGTTAAAAAAAAAAAAAAGATGCTTCTCTTAATTGAGAAGTGTCGTGTCCCCTCCCCAAAAGAAATATTTAAAGAAAACTTTGTGTCCAAAAAAACAATGGGATGGGAGTTCAGTGTGTAGGGATATAAATAAACAAGACTGTCCACTGAATTGATAATTGTGGAAGCTGGATGATCAGCACGTGGATGTGGATTTTATACCATTTCTCTATATCTGTATGTTTGTGAAATTTTCCATTTTAAAAAATGGGGCAAATGGTCTCAGCCCTCCATTCTCATTTGTCCCTTTAAACCCTCCATTCCAGCTGAGCATGCACCATGTTAGTTCATGCCTCTGACAATACCCTTCCTTTAATCTGGCAGTCTTCTCTGCCTGGAAAATTCCTACTGTCATCAACAGCCAGGGCAATTGTCACTTCCACTGAGAAGCCTCCTCCCACTCCTACAGTTAGAAAAGATTGTCCCTTCTTGATGCTTGGGGCTCTTTCTCTGTGAAGGGTCTATATTTCTATTATTGCAAATACTCTGCTCCAGTGTCATCATTCATCTCCCCAGCAGACAGTAAACATTTCCACAAATGAGACAGTATCTCATCAATCTTTTGTCTGATCTGGCCCTTAGCCCTCTGGTTGGCTTAGAACTGGCAGTTAATAAATATTTGTTCAATTAAGAGGTAGGGTCTAGCAAGGAAATGACTAGTTGTTTGATTTGGTATATGTTGATTTTGAGAAGTCTGAGGAATATAGGAGAGAAAGTGAATGAGAAGCTAGTGTTATTGAGCCTCTGTCAGAAGTGTGCTGGGGCAAGGAACAGAGTAGGGAACAGAAGGCAAGGCTCCTACTCTTAAGGACTTTACTTTCCCTTGGTTGGAGGAGAGCATGGAGAAAGATGTAATTATAGAACACTAGAGACCCAGTGCATAAAATTCGTACACAGGTAGGGTCCCTAGCAGCTGCTGGCTGCTGGCCGGGGCACTCCCTTACCCCGGCTGCCTGCAGCTGCTAGCCGTGCCCCTGGTCGAACTCCTGGTCAAACTCCTGCTCAAACTCCCGGTCGAGGGGACAATTTGCATATTGGGCTTTTATTATATAGGATGGTAAGTGCCATGGAGGAAATGGACATGGCAAAGCTTATTCCACTCCAGAGACGTATCATGAGCCCACTTACGGATAAGTAGATGAGCAGGTGTTCCGATGAAGTCACTTTGCAAAGTCCACAGCTGTGAGTGCTGAAAAGGACTCACACCCTGGGCTGCCCCCTCCAAAGCCCATGCACTTTCCTCTGCCCTGTGCTGCCTCTCAGCAAGCAGGTGAAAATTCGGAGCTCAGACTGAATATTCAAATTTGATGCCATCTGTCTCTA